TGGGCTGAGTTATCACTCCTAGAGAAGAGGCAGGCAATGGGGAGATGTCGCTGCTCTGGTAGCATGGGGGAGGGCAGGTGTTTGCACTGGGGCACTTGTCGTGACTCTGGAGTGATTTGGCACCGTGTGTCAGGAGGAATCCTGCTCTCTGCCACCACTGAAAGCAATGAATAAATCGCCTGCTTACAAATACTGCTGTCCTGTGCTCCTGGCAGGTCATGAGCCTGAGCTTATGTGCTGTGGGCCAACAGCTTCTGGTCCGTAGTCTACTCTTGTCAGGGATGCTAGGTGCCAGGAAAAATGGTGGTACTGCTTGGAGGCCTGAGGAGACCTGCAAGCTGCACAGAGAGGAGTAATTTTACCTGTGCCAGGCTTGAAAGGCCTATTCTCTTAGAGAACAGGGGGAAAAAAGTAATTGTGGGGAAATGAATGATATGTCACTGTATGGTCTTCATCTCTTTTGTGTGTTATTTTGTATTCAGATACTTGTTTGAAGACAGGCAGTGATGGAAAGCTGGGGAAATAAGTTTTAAGCTATTCCAGAACATTCTGGTGATAGATAGGGACTTTTGAAAAAAACCCTAATAAAATGATATTTTATTTTTACTTCAGTCCAGGTTTATATTTCCTCCCCTCTGGCCTTTTATAAATTTCAGAGTTACACAAACACTTCCTAAGAATGCCCTTCTCCCTGCCTGTATGCTGGCCTTGCATATAAACAGGGAGAGCTTGAAATCTGGTTGTGAAAGCTCCCCTTTAACTGATCAATAACAGCCTCATCTCCAGAACTATTCATTTGACATAGTAAAGTTATTTTTATTTGTTAATGATGGGAGCTGTTTCCCATTTAAAAGATTTTATACCTGTGTTTTACACCACTGACATTCATGAGCTGTTGTTTTCATAATCAGAAATGGGCTGTTTTATGGCATTTTTAAAGATTCTTCTCTATAACAAGAAAATATTGAATTGTCTTTGCATATTTAAATTCACCTTAATCTGTTTGAATTGTATTGGTCAAATTTTTATGTGTTATGAATTAAGTAGTGTGACTTTTGTCTATTTTTTTTTCTAAATTGAAAGCATTTGCAGAGGAAAGAAGAAAAAGTTTATTTATTTTCTGACAAGGTTAAAGCCCAATAGTAAGTCAGACAAAAGCCCCCAAAAGCTCACACTAGATATGTTTATTGAAATATTCAAATAGAATTCATTCTCTCTATAGAGTGAAACTGTGGTGGCATATGGGAAAGTAAGATATATTACAATAAAACTGATATAAAACAGTTGAATTCAGAAACAGTGGCAGGAGATAATTTTAGTTCATTATGATTTAATTCAATTAAATGCAACACTGTTAACTGCAGACTAAGAAGTATTACTTGTGCCTGTGCAGGCACACGCAAGCATTATTTATTCTCTGCCGCATCTCTCTTTGCAGAAGAAATTACACCAGTGAAAGGGGGGTGCTCAATGCTTTCATAGCACTGTAAAACTCTCTATACCTCACAGACCTCAGTGGAAATTTGACCTGAGTAAGGAGAAACATTGAGGTAAGGTTTTGGAGAGTGGACCCCTCAAAACCCAGGAAGATGTCCTTAGGTAGTACATGCTCTTTGAATGTCAACAGGGTTGGTGCAGGCTTGTGGATTAATTTACCAGATAATGCCTCAAATGAGGTTAGCACCAGCAGGGAAAATATAGCTTCTAATTATATTTTTTTTCTTCAGAACCAAAAAAATCCATCAGAACAAACTGCTCAGTCTGAGCTGCCTGTCTACCCCAGGCACTGCTCTGAGTCTCCTGAAGGAGAGAAGTTACTGATCCCTGTCCTCCTCCTCCACTTACCTGAGCTGTTCCCTGCTCTGCACCTGAGCACAACAACTCAAACCCACAGAGGCACAAAGGCATTCAAGGTCCGTGGGTTTCAATCTGAGCTATCTGCCTAAATGCCTTTGTGCATACATGCCTAAGGGCTGTGCTGGCCGTATCCCAAATCCCAACTCAGGCTCACAGCCGAGGAGGAGGCTAATGAAGGGCAGGTGGCACAGGGCTGAGCTCTCTCCTTTCTCCCAGGGCTTTCTGACTCTGTGGGTGAGCTGTGACAGAGTGTGTTTGTTGTGGCAGTGGGAAAAAGTTTAGCATGGACCTAAAGGCACCTGCATGAATGTTTGGCATGATGGCATAGAGTAACAAGTACAAGCTTGGCTGGGATTTTTGTATGGATTCAACAGAAAGAAATTCCTTATTTGTCAGGTATGTTTTATTTGACCGTGTTAAGCTGAGAGGTGTGACACTGTCCTACCTGGGTCAGGCACGCAGTGTTCATGCTTAAGGACTCCTTATAGTCCTTACAACCTCAGACCGTGTAGAGGTGGGTGTATTATAAAGTCCTTGCTTATGTTTTATGATTATGTGTTTCCATTGTGGCGTGGTTTAAACACCCAGCTCCTGTAGCTGCAAACAAAAGGATGCTTCCAGTCCCAAAGAGTGAGTCTGCAGTTTAGATCTAGCTTACATCAAATGATCAATAACTGTGAACCAGAAACAAAGAAATAAAATTTTAATAGTGACAATGATTACCCTTACACCAGCTGCTTGACCACTGTCTGTTTATATGTAAGCTATCAGAAGAGCATATACTGTTGAATTATTCTCAAGACAAGATCAGCCTGGGTAGCAAGAGAGAAACTGAAAAGGGGGCTGTGAAAGAGCAGTGATTTCATCTGCGAATGCTTTGGGATTGTTTGATATTGCAGGTAACTGTCTTTGATCACTGCCTTATAACCATCACCTTTAATTTGTAGCACACAGGTTACTATCTAGCACCCAGCTAGCCAAATGAAATGTATGGCTTGATTAAGGATCTCTTTTGTCAGTAATTTGTGCCTAATGTTTTTAGCTTTCCCACGGGCTGTTACAGAAAATGGTAAATCTGGTTTAAATGAAACCTGATACTGTTAATGGTTTAATAGCAGCTGCCACAGGGTTATGGCATTTTTCAACAGATGCTTCTGTTTCATTTTAAGCTTAAACTAAGTCTTAGAATACATTTACGTAATTAATATAAAGTACATATACATAATAATGACAATATTTATAATTTTACAAGATTTCCCTAAATGACTTTGCTGTTATCTAATCACAATATAAAACTTGAAAAAGGAAGGCATATTAATAGAAATAATAATTTATATTCCACTCTTCAAAAAAAAGTTGTAGGATGCAGCACAGCTGTGAAAACTTGTCATCTCCTAACATGGCAGTTATTGGTGTAGGCAAATCCCTTGCTGCTTCAGAAAAAGAGACAAAAAGCTTTGCTGCACCTGAATTATGCTTGTTATCAGTCAGGAGTATAAAAGAAGTGATGCTTGTATTCTAATATACACATCAAGAAATAGCTGTGTCGAGGTGTGTACTTAACATGCAGAAATACTTGAAGAACTGAAGATTTGTGGATGATTATTGGCTGCACAATGTTGTCTGATTGAGGAAATCCCTGCTAATTTAAGAGGACTTCGGCATTTTAGGCTGTTCATATTGGGTGATTGGTCTGAATAGATTTCTTCTATTTGGAGGCCTTATTCTTGACTTCCAAGAAGTAGTAAGGGTGTATCCTACAGGATATTCAGAGTGAGAGGATGCTCCTGAATATTGTGGCCTTCTGCAAGTATGTGTCTTGCATAGTTCACAGTGAGCAGAGAAAGAGAAAAGGCTCCTCTTCCTCTGCCTTGGCTGGAAGGCAAAGTAATGTTGAGCAGGCAAGTGTACCAAGGCATTTTCTGCTGTGAACTGTGAGGACTGAAATGGGAACAGTAAAACATGAAAAACATGCAAATAACAGAAAATTGTCTCTATTAAAGAAGCATCCAAGATTGTTTATTTAAGAGATTAGGCAGTCACAGTTCTCTCAGGAGAATGTGTAGGAGCAGTGGTGAAGCAGATGTTTCACTGTGTGAGGGGTGTAGCTGATGTATTTGTTCCCCTTGTCCCCAAGGTGAAAACCCTTCATAGCTGTTACCCTGGGTATGATGGCAGTCATCTTCTGTGTTCTAGCTTTTTTGGGGGTTTTGCTTTATTTGTTCTTTTGAATGTATTAGAATTGTTCAAAAGCATCTGGGTCAGTGCCCATTTTAATTAAGGAAAATGGTTAAAAATGTGGCATAGGACCAGATTTCTTTTTCTTTGGGTTTACCCTTCTTTCTTCTGTACCCACCAAAACCTTACAGATGGATTTACATAAGTTCATTACTTCAGAATGTTTCTTCACCACTATATATATATATATATATATGCCATGGGAACACAATTGCTCCAGGCCCCAAGGCATTGGTAACCCTCTTCCACACCTCCAAGCTGCTCAGAAGAATATCTATACCTATCTTATGAAAAGTGTAAACTGTGTTTGCCAGTTCTCTCTGAGGACTTGTTACCTCAAAATCCTTTTAAACCCTACACTGAGGTTCACATACTTTTCACTAACAGTTTTAATTTAAAGGAAGAAGGATATTAAGTACCAACATCATTCCCACATCTGGCTGGAGAAGAGTTTGTGACTCGGTGAAAAGCAAGTTTGCAAGTGTTTTTATTGGATGCTTGGATGCTTTGGTTTCCAAAGCTGCTGTGAAACTAATCCAGTGGTGAATCTCAGCAAGCCTTCACAGATTTCAGCCACCTCAGATTTCCAAGTTGGTTTGTTATTCTCTCTTAAAGATTTCTACTGGCAATGTTTTTCACCACTGGTAAATAAAGACAGAAAATGAATGCTTTCTGAAAGCAAAGGGGAAAAGAAATCATAAAATAACCACACAAGAAAAAGCACAGCATTTTTTGTTGGAGTGGAAAATCATTCAAATATATGTTTTTTGGGAAGACTCGTTAATCGTTTTATCATGCAAAATTGGACCAAAGGTATGATGTTTGCAGAGCTTTATATGATAAAAGAAATTCAGTTTCCTTGTGATGTTTTTGTAATAAATAAATCTTTTTTTCTCCTTTCCTAGGTTCTACCATATAGAAAAGCTGTGAAACCAGGCATGGTACTCCTCTTTGAACTCTTCCTTCTTCGTGGCACCTATACCTGGATTGATCGGGAAGTGGGATGGGGAGCTTTTCCCTTATGTGATAACAATTTTAATGCTTTTGAAGGAAAATTTAAATGTCCCTTCCTCAGAGGACATTATGACTCCAAAATTGACCGATTCAAAAAAATTGAAAATTTTATTTCTCAGGACTTGGACCACTGGTTATGCAATCTCTACTTTCAGGTTTGTATTTTAAAAAAAAAAAAATGTTTCATTTTCTCTAGATTTTTCTTTTTGATTCTGAAATTAGGTTGTGGCTCATCTCTCATTTACTGGGATGTCTGCTTTAATCAGTAAGCATGGGAAAGACATACATGGGAAAATTATATGGGAGAAAACTGTAGTAAACAGAATACAGAGGAGCAAGAACTCCCTAAAATTCTTATAACATCTTGAACTGCTAGGCTTCACAAACAATGTTCAACAAGCATGTTCTGGCTTTGTGGAATTCTGAATTACTTTTTTTTTTTCCTTAGATAATTAAACTACCACAGGATTCAGATAAGCAAAATAAGTGTGGTATGCATGTTCATCTGCCACCCGAACTTCTTATGTTTTCAAGCGCTGCTGAAAAGAATGGTGTCTCAGAAAAGGCTGTACAGTCTGGATCACAAGGTGATGGATTCAAACTTTGATATTTACATTCAGGTTTTCGCTGGATCAACCCATAATTTCATTTCAATGTTGGCTAGTCATTATTGTTCTTGTTAAGCTAGATTTTCTTCATTCAGATGTGGGTCCAACATGTGTTATAGCAGGAATACTCTGACTCTTTTTATTAAGGTATTTTAACTTTGTTTTCAGGTGTGAGCAATTCAAACCAGCCTCATTGCTGAGGATGGAATGGCCACATTGGCCTATGCTTAAGGCTGAATAATGCTTGGAATGTCACAGCAATAACAGTTCAGCTGTTTATGGCTCCAAGCTTACAGGAAGAGAAAAGAAAAAGATGCTTGTTTTGTGTTCTTCTGGAAGAACTTTAGCATCTCCCTGGGCTGCAATGAGGACCTCAGATTTGGCAGGGAGATAGTTCTGGCATCAGAAGCATGCCTTATGCTACTCCTCTGAAATTCTGTTAAGATTCAATCAAGTGATAACCTGTAGAAAGGACAATTATCATTTGCTTGTGTACAGCAGACCTCCCCAGAAGCTTTCTCAAAACATCACTGAATGTTTCTTTCGGACTGGTCCTCCCTGGCCTCTGTGAACCTTCTGATGTAGCTACACTGAGGAGACATCTGAGCATATTGCAATGGACTCACAAATTGCTCCTCCTCTGGTAGAAATCCAGTAATGAGAAGAATGTCAGGACATTGCTGTCGTTCTTTTCTTTTATCAGCATGTGGGATGAGAGTGCCATGAAAAAAAAAAATTAATTTTTGCTGTGCAGATATTTCTATATTCCCTCTTCTTTAATGAACTGAAGTGTTCAGCCAATTCATAGATTGTAGTGTATGTGTGACTATTATGTGTAGATCTGAAACAGAGAATTATTCCTTCAGGACAGAGGTTCCTTAGGCATTTGAGAACAGCAGTAGTGATGCACTGTAGATGGCACAGGAAGAGAAAGAAGAGGCTATAGAAAGAAAAGAATGCAGAAGCAATAATCATTTAGCATGGTAAATGGGCAGCTCAGGTTGGAAGCATAACTTGAAAAGACTCCAGGAGAAGTATTTTTCAGACAGTTAGTGGTGATTTAAGAGATAAAGAAAATGAGATTTGCCCTGAGATGCTTTTACGCTAAGCAGCAACAGCACCATGATCAAAAGGCTTTTATATAACCACCCTGATAAGAGAAGCATGGAGGTGTAAACATACACTATACTGAGGATTAAAGTCTTTTTTGTTGTCATATATCTTCTACACATCTGCTAAGTTGCTTTGAGATGCAGCAAATCTTGAATAGTGGATCCAAAATGTAGAATTGCAGGCAGTGAAGAATTATGGACAAACTCTTAAAGGATCAAACTTGTTTGGTCCTACCATCAGTCTTCACATTCATTTGGAACTGCACTAGAGGGTGCAGCTAAATAGGTCATGCTTTCTGGAAACACTTGGAAAAACTCGTGATGCTCCATTTGAAAAGTCAAGAAAGACATGCTTTTAAGAACTGAAAAACAGCATTAGTGTATGTCCTATTTTGCATGTAGACTCTAAAGTTTGCTGATAAGATGATCATGGAAGATCTATAATTTTCCTGCCAAACATATTTGCACAAACAAAACTTTTAGGAGTAATTTTTGATATTGCTTATATTTATTTATTTTTCTTGGGGCATTCTTTAAAAATATTATTAGCTGCCAATATCCCCCATGGGTTTGTTTTTTAATGTATCTGTGCAGTGCTACAGTATGCTGTTTCTGCTGGTGATATGTTGCTAAGAGATTTAATAATGGGTAAACAAACACAACATGTGGTAATCCTTTTCAAATTAAAAGTTTATTAAATGCTAGCTTGATGACTTTCTGGCTATTTACAATTAAAGGAACAAACCTTAGAGAACTGGAGATCACGTGGTGAAAATCACAACTTCAACATTTCCAGCAGAAAAATGTGTTTATGATCTGTGGCAAGCTGTTGCACATTGATATGTCCTATAAATACAGTATTATATCTGTTAAACCACCAAAAACAAGGGTGGGGAGGGGAAAGCTCTGTTAGAGTGACATTAAGGTTGAGACACAAACCAGAGAAAGCAAGAACAATCTAAATGAAGACGGGTGCTCTGTAACGCACTCTAGTAGTCTAAATAGTGAGTGATCTTATATATCAATACCATATGTGGTACTGCAACATATAAGAGAAATAAAGCAGGTTAGGAGATGGTGTTTTAGCCTTCACTTCAAGTTTGTCTTGGTTTTAGATGTTTAAAACAGAACATTCATATTATTTCCATTAACTCCAGGCTCTACATTATTCTTTTAAGCCACAGCTCCATGCAGGGCTAGGTAAAGCTCTTCCCTGCTGCACAGGTTCTCTGGTCTAGAGCACAGTGCAGGGAAATGCAGCATAATACTTCCCATTCTACCTCCTTTGCAGATCAAAGATGCATATTATCAGATCTGGCGTGTCTCTTAGTCCAAACCATATCTTCTCTCCATTCTTTTGAAGTGGTATTCTTTAAGAGATTCATGGCAGAAGTCAGCTTCTGCTTTTACCACCACCACCCTTTGCTTTTCTTAGGAAAATATTCTGCTGTTCATCTGTTGCCCCTTACAGGATCAGCAGTCCCTGTCAGAGAATAAATGGCAATTTCTGAGTAGAATTTGTTATCTACTGTTATGTGAAAGGTGGTAACAGCTCTAGAAGAAGGAGCTTAAGAAAATTTGTAGGAAGTAAGAAAATTTGATGCAACTACCAGGAATGCTGCCTTGGTAGGCTTGGATCTAAGTAACAAGGGCTTCTAAAATGCATGAGAACTTCAAAACTGTGAGTCTCCATATAGACATTAAATGTACAAATCCATCAAGAAAACGTGCTCACAGTGAAATCCAGCAAGACCCCTTTTGACTTTAGCATCCACAGGAAGAGGGGATTCACATGTGCAAAATGTCAGCATAACAGTATTTTTAGGAATTGGCAGCCCTTTCATCCTCAGAAAAGCTGATGGACAGCATTCATATGTTGGTTCTACAGATCAAACACTTTTAGGTCAGACACTGGTTCATTTGGAAAGTGTTGCTCCACATTTGTTGGGGACCTTCATCCAAGTGCTTTCTTTTGCAGCTGTGCTGTTGGAATGACTTGACACACAAACACCCTTTTGTGCCCATCTGAATTTGCCCATCTGAATTTGCCCATCAGATAAAACAGGCAAGAGGAAAGCTATGGATGATGTTATCTGCTGTAGTTTTTAGAACCAAAGGAAAACCTTTCTCATTCCAGTTGACTTATTCATACCACTTTAGGGTTGGCCATTTTGAAGTCCTGAAGCTATGGTCAGCACTGTACTAGCATATAATGATGTGCATTCAAGACCTAAAAAGGTCTCTTACAAGACAGAAGGTGCAACAGTCGCTGAGGATTAGGATACTGAAGTAGTATTTTTCTATTTTTTAGTGCTAAGTTTTGTGTATTTTTAGTGAACCTAAACAGTTCACCAGTAAAATGCACTGATTGTGCATTTTTTTTAAGAAGTAGTTTTCCCAAGCTCTGGAGTGTGAAATCAATAAAGGAGTTTTACTTAGTCTGACTATGCTGGGGGACAGGTGTTATCAGACAAGATTTTGAGGGAGAGTGTTCAAAGGTAGCCAGGCTAGTTAGGTCCCAGCACCAGGGTGATCTTTATGTAATAGAACTGGTATGGTGGTGTGTTAGCATGAATGCGGTGTCTGGGCTAGCAGGAATGTTTGTTGCTACTGCTTTGCTGGTTAGATTTGTCACACAGAAAGACTTCCTCTACGTCAGCTGTTTTGTGTTGGACTAAACACCTAGATGCAGATTTTCTGAGTCTAAAATCTTCTTTCCAGAAAGTCAGCTTGTCCCTTATACACCCCTGCTCTACTATGGGAGGAAAAAGAAAAAAAAATGCAGCTCTTTGAGATTGGTTTTTTGGGACACTCTTTGTTTTTTTACAATGAACAAATATCTCATTTTCCCTTGTACTTTATTTTTTCTTTCCTCTTACAATGTTTGCTGTCTAACAGCAGTACATGTGGCTCCTGTGCCCTATGCATCAACCAGAAGAAAAGTTAGAACCACTGAAATGTCTTTAGTTCTCAGACTATGAGCTTATAACAGAAATAAATATTATAGAGAAAGACAATTTTCAGGTGTACAATTTTTCTGGTTACTGTACAATTGAGAGTATTTTTTGGTCTGTCTTCCTTCTGTCTGTCTGCCTGGCTGTTAATAATAAGATTGGTTTGTACCACTTGGCTTCAGCAGTCCTTGAAACTTGCCAGGGTTGTAAAGCTTTAAACAGTTGCACAGGTTTTTAATTGTAAATTAGTTTTGACAGGACTGCTAAGACAAAGGCCTGGCCCATCCCATCGTGATGCTAGCCGACAGCCCCTTACTGCTCCTGGAGCAAGGAAACATGTGGAAGGAATTGTTCTTTTACATTTCACAGCTTGTCATTTCCTCTGCAGGGCAACCTCTGACCTCCCCGAAAGATCCTGACACCCATAAGGGAAGTATTCCCACTGTTGTAAAGGAAGTGGAAAAGCAGTTTAATGCTGCGAAAGGAGGAGAAGCGTGTGTGTCAGAAGAAGCTGTGAGGAAAAGAGAAGAGCTTAAAATGCTTCCAGCAGGTTAGGACTTTTATTGCGTTACTTAATTTACTGAAAGTTTGCAAGTAGATCTGCCTGGCATGTGTGTAAATACCCTCATTTGCCTTCCCCCTCACCCTGTGATATCATCTCATCATTATTTCACTGGGCAAAGGAAGTGATGGAAGAGTTTAAATCAATTGTTAGGGATCAAAAGCTGCTTAGGCAAAAAAGTATAGAAGTGGCAGACTCCCCTGTCTAAAATATATTTGTAGGCCAAATGTGTTAGTAATTACAAGGTGTGTGTGCAGTGCACTGACAACATTAGATTATGGCTGGTGTTTCCGTGACATTTTTACATCCTTTCATTTTATTTGGTCATTTATATCCATGGATCACAACATGGTGCTGTTAGGTGCTTGGGAAGTACTTTTTCTTCCTGCAGCACATTAATAGCAATATCCTTTGTTAATTGTGCTGAGCTAAATTACATAAAAGTGCCTGTCTGTATTTACATGAGGTAACATTTGCTTCTGGGGCATGGAATTTCTTCTGAAGGCAAAGCCTGGCAAGTTGCTACAGTGGTTTTTTATTCCCTTGATTTTGTTTATGTTTTTATTTTTTATTGGTTGTTTCTGGGATTTTTTTTTTTGTTGGTTTGTTTTTTGTTCTGTTTTGAAGTCCCAGGTAAAAAGTATTTATCTGAGAACTGAGTAATATAGCCCCTAGGTTCTCTCCTAAACTCAAAGACCACCATGATGCCCAGAGGTGGACTTACCATGGGGCAGGGATTTGAAGGTACCAAGGATACCCAGATATCTACTCCCACTTCATAGCCCAGGCCAGTGCGTAGAGATGAGAGTGCAAGTGGGTATAAATTAATCACACCATTTGAAGGAGAGGGTGACTTTCATTCTGTACCAGGAAGCTGTAATAGATCATGCTTAGACACTGAACTGCAAAATATTAGATAAGACAGAGCTACCTGAGGTCTGACAGCTACCTCTTATCTGTGTAAACTTGTTTTCTTCAAGTCCGTGGGCTCTCTTAAATGATGCAGTAGAATTTTGGATTAATGTTATTTTGAAGCCAATGCCAACTCCCCTTTCACAGCAACCCAAGAAATATAATTCAAAAACAATCTCTTTGGAGCCTTCTTTCTCTGTTGGCTGTCCAGGAAGTCTAGAACTATGCATCTGCTAGAATAGGTGCATGTGCTGAATATCTCATGTTAATTGGGCTCAAATAGAGGTTGGAGCTAGAATGGCAATGCCAGGACAAGATTAATGAATGCTGAATATTGATACTGATTATCATAGATGCTTGAGAAGTAGAATACAGAGCTGGTGTAATTTTTTATTATAAGGATGTTTGTGTCAAAAGGTTAAGCATATTACAGAAAAAAAAGTAAGAATAATTTTCAGTCTTTCAAGGGTTCTCATTACAAGTCCTGATAGGATCAACACCTACCATATCTATTCTAGATTTTGGTTCTTCTAAGAATATAAATAGAGCCCTAGCTTAGAAAATTTGTTCAACTTCTGCATTAGTAGAATCTACTTTGAAATTTATTTTGTTAATTTGCCCAACATTAGTTGTGCAAAGCAGATTAAAATACTAAAAATATTAAAAAACATAAGTAACCTACATGAACAAGAGAGTTTTAAAATAATGTTTAGTGGTGTTTGACATTTGCTTTTGTCTACTTTTACTTTTTTTTTTACCTGCTTTCTTTTCCTTGCCAACATTTAGATGTTTCTACCTTTAGAGTGTGTCTCAAACCCCAGTTATTAGTTGTGCAGGTAGACGGGTATTCCTTCTCCCTCTTCCCATCACTAATGTTTATCTAGATCTAAAACTAGCATGTTGACTTTTTATTCAAAGTATTTATGTAGAGTTTGGCAGAGACCTAGGGGCAAACACAGCATTTTAGAACCTACATTTTCAGTTCAAGACAGACTCTTACAAATACCCTGAAATGATGCAGTTATAGAAGTGCCCTGATTTGGAAAGGTACTGAATTACCACAGCCTTTACCAATGCAAGTTTCAAAGGGCAGTATTTTGCATCATCATCAGAACTGACTAGGTATATTTAAGAGATAATACTGTATTTGACAGAGGACTTAAAAGAAAGAAGCATCTGAGTTCACCTGAACTACAAGCAGATCTCCAAAATATCCATGGACTTTGAATTAGGTGAAAAACATTTTTTGCTTATCTGTATTCATGAGACAACAGAAGTTTTCCTCAATGAGCTCAGTTTCTGGTACTGCATCTATTGCATATTATTTTAATGAAAAACCTGTTTCAAAAGTCACATCACTAAAGCATATATTTTCTGCGATGGAACACTGTCAGCAATGTCACCACTAAACTCATTATCTGCACTCAGAATGATGGAGAGAAAAAAAGCTTCATTTTGAAATCCCCAGATACTTTCTGCAGGATGACATATAAACTAGGATTTATACTGTACTGGATATTTAATTTGAAGATTCAACAGTGCTTGCATTCTTTTCTCCACAAATATTCATTTCAGCAGATAACTTATCCCCAGCCTTTCTCTCATATGAAGCTTAAATTCTTTTTTCAAAGCCCCCAGTCATGCACGTACCACAAGTAAAACCCCTGGAAACGCATAAAATACTTCTCATGAATATTGTTAGTCAAACTATTGCAATCAACTGGCATTCTGCTCACTTTTGGGATTTGACAGAACCTCTGTGATTCCTTCAGCTCTCTATGACCTTTCTAGGGCATACCCAGGATAAAGTTTTAGCTCCTATTTTCACACCTTCTACCTCAGAAGGAAACTTTTGTTTGATGTCTGTGTTCTAAAACAAACTGAGTATTGACAATAAGATGTTCAATATTGTTCATATTTAAGATTTCAAATTCACCATCCTTGCTGCATTTGTGGAGAAATGTTTGGAAGTAATTGTGTCCTTTTGTGATATCAAAAAACATTTCTGTCAGAGCAAAGCTTCAGAATAAGCAAAGATGCTTTGTCAAAACAAAAATGGCATCAGGCTAACGAAGAGGCTTATTACAGTAGCAGCAGATAACACTCAAAACAGTGTTCAGAATTTATTAAGATGTTCCTTCAATATCAAAATACCAAACACTAAACCAGCTTCATTCTAATTTTATCATTGCCTTTGGAGAGGAGGGTTTACATTTGTTAAAATATGTTTATATAAGTGAGAAATTGTTTCATTGAGACGATTGTATTTATGCTCACAAGCATTTCAGAAACAATTTTATGAAAACCAGTGAATCTTCATTGCAATATTTCTCCTTATACTGCAATGATGTTCTTTCCCTACTGAGGTGCTGTTTGCTTCTACATAAAATTTGTATGCAGATGCAAAAATAATTACCTAAACAAAAAACAAACAAAAAACCAAAAAAAGGCTGTTCTTGTTGGTAATTCCTCATGGCTACCACTTTAAAGGAAGCCAAGTGATATTTTAAAATGAAGATTGCTTGTGCCTCATTTTTTAATACAGGTAGGGCCCCAGAGGCAGAGCCTCATATGGCTGAAACTTCTTTCTGTGATGGTCTTTTCCTTCTCTGAGCAGGACTGCATAGAGGATTGCACTGATTTTTCCAGTTAGGATCAAAGTGAGATCCTGCTTATGGTACTGAAATCCACACAATCCAAACCCTTCAATTTTCCAAATCTTGCCATACTATTTGATTTCCCATAGACTAGTGCATTACTAAGAAAGGAATCTAAATAGGATCTTCATCTTATTTTCTGTCCCTGCTGTGGTGATTTATTTGTCTTCTGCTCCACTCATGGATTGTACCACTCTAAAACCTTTTCCTACTGACTTAAAGAGAGTACAGTCAAAAAGGACTGCACTTTTCTTTGGCCCCATATAAATCAGAAGTAGTTCCCATCAAACTTGTGTAAGGTAACTTCCTAGCTGTGCGATTTCTTCTTGCTCATATTAAAAAAAAAAAAAAAAATTAGACTCTGCATGGGCCCCATACATAAATAAATATTTTGCAGTATCAGCCCTATATGCATTTAGGGTGAAGCTGAGCAAGAGGATGTACTTTAGATGTACATATCAGGTATTAATGGGCCATCAGTTACCAGGATCAGACTAAAAAGCTGGTCTGACATGAAATCTTCAACACAGAGTGGGGTCCCCACTGTTCTGCGGTGTCCCTCCAAACCTTGGTTTCATTCTACAGGTTCACTCCTCTTGCACCACAGTACTTGTTAACAGAAGACATAACCAAAAATGGTAACTTCCAGACTGAAGGCAAAGGGTAGAAAATGAGTAAATTTTATTCTCCAAGGGTTAGGAAGCAGTAAGACACCCTCTGAAAGGTGATTTTGAAGGCCATGCTATTATGCTCTGCTATTGCCTTGAGAAGGCTGATGTGGAGAAAGGTAACAGAGTAGCAATAATATTTTTGTTAACAACCTCTTTCCAGGGTATTTTAAAACTTAGATCCCAGCAGAGCTCAGGGATTTCATACTGGTAACCCTTTCTTGTATTCCTTATCAGGAATGATCTGTGTTGTATCTAAACTATTTGGTTGGAAATTAATATGACCCAAAAATGCATGTTCTCAGTATTGTCAAGAACTGCAAATAACCTTCATATCACCACGATTTTCCAAATCCAGACATTAGTTTTGTCATGCCTGTTCCACAATGGTGGGAAAAAATACCACCCTTTTTTCCCTATTTGTCTTATATGAACGTAGACATTTAAACTATTCTGCTGGACTTCTTATTGATAGCTGATCACAGATTTATAATTTTGGGTTAAGAATCTTATTGCCTTTTCCACGTTCTGGTGTAATCATAGTTTCCTGCTTTTATGCATACGTTTCTTGATTTCCAAATAAACCTATTAACAGCAAGTCTACATCTGCCACTGTGTCTTTGTCACAGCTATGATACCTGTCTTTGATCATTTTTTCTTGGTGCTGTTTTCTCCTCCTCAAATTGCTCATTTTTATCATGAATGATATTATGTTCCCCTGTCAGGAAACAAAATGTATTTTGAGTCAATTTACTAAAATAGTTATTGCTAAGTGTTATATCTGGACAAAGTTGACACCTTTGACATTTTCTAAAATGGCAAAAATAACTGTATTTAAGGTATGATTTATGGGTACTCTATGTCAAAGGAATTTCTATGCTATTACAGTTTCTGATGCAGCAGTCCCAACTCCTTCAAGGAACAAATTGCTGATAGTGTAGCTAATTAATGCTTTATTAGTATTCTGTGGTCAATTATAAAAAGTTATAAAAAAGTAAAATGCAATTTAATATTAAAGAACTGTGTGGTTCTCATTTCTCTCTCAGAAGTGCTTTGTTTTTTGCATGTGAAAGAAACAATTTCTACACAGCTCAGTTTTATAAGACACATTCCCTTCCCCCCAGCCACTAAGTAGGAGCAACTCCTATGATTAAAAAGTAGACTGGAGTCTTTAAATGTCTTTCTGATTGCTGGCCTCTATTAAAAACTTCTTAAAATAATAGATAGGTTTAATTCCTCAAGCCAAAGAAAAATCGTATCATCTTAAGTATTTTCCATATTTATTATAATGATGAGATTTGGCTACTGAGGAAAAAAAAGGAAGTAAAATCTCTTGTATTGCAAGTTTTAAATGTACCAGGCTAAGGTTTACTTAATTAGAACCTCCAGGCAATAAAGGAACCCTTTTTTAAATTCTGTGAATCTTAATATGCTAAATAATGCAAAGCTTCAACTCTTCAAGCATGAGACACACATCTGGCAGCTTAACATTTAAATTACAGAAAAAAAACCACTTCAGTAGTAATTTTCATGAAGAAAAGAATGGGAAATGTATTACAACTAAATTTAATTTCTTTTTAGATTTTTCATCCTGTCTAATTGCAGGCATTTCCCGTCTCCTCTTTTATTTATTTATTTTCATACAGATTTTTTCTGTACTTTTTATTGATCTTTAATTTGAGCAGCTTCTTACAGTTACAGCCATTGAAGAATTACATTGTGTTTTTACTTAGCAAAAATTGTTCAGAGAAATCTATGAGGAATTAAAGTAATGAGCTCACTGGTATAGAAAGAAAAGAGCATTCAGAGCCTTACAAATAAAATATAAAAAGAGCACGTCATGATTAAATAACAGACTTGAGTTCCTTCTCCCTCCCTTTTCTTAAATGTAGAATATTATTGTTTTCTTTATTCTTTTTATTGTCCCTTTTTTTTTTTTTTTTTTTTTTTTTTTTTTTTTTTTTTTTTTTTTTTTTTTTTTTTTTTTTTTTTTTTTTTTTTTTTTTTTTTTTTTTTTTTTTTTTTTTTTTTTTTCCAAGATAATTACTGCTTTATTCATTTGACTCCAAAAACATTGTTAAAGTATTCATCATTTCAGCAAGGCTGTTTGGAAACCCATTTTTGTGTACTGTGGAAAAAAGAAAAGAAGAAGAGAAATTAAACAAAGAAAACCACAGGAACCATCTTTACAAAGGCATATTAATATTTTAATGTGTGTTAATGGGTCCATACAGGTATCCCATATACAAAATTCCTAGACACAGTTTGAACAGGTTATGCTGCATGTGTGCACACACGTGATCTACCCAGCAGCTGTATTTTAAGTTGTCTTGCTGATTTCAGTAGACCTCTTCTTTCACCCTAGATGATGTAAATACCTGTAAATTCCTTGACATATATACACCTGTACATGAGTGTGTATATATGTAGAAAGAAAGAAATATATCCATAGGTGTGTCCACAAACACAGACTTAAAACTGTGACATTGTATGTGCATATATTGTGTATCAACCTCTGTAACACCTAAGAGCAGATCCTTCCTGTACTGTGATTTTAAATACACTTGACTGTCTTTTACTGCATGGAACTCAAAATAACTTTAAAAGAAAAAAAATGGAAATAATTGCTAAGTGTGTTTTTGGCTTATTCTTCATGTACCATACATTAAAACGTATAATACAGACCTTTATTTTTGCCACAGCAGTGCTTACTATGATGTGGGAGTACATTTTTGTTTATTCCGTGGATCACTGCTTTTCAGGAGCTTGAGGGACCATGTGACTTGTGTTTTTGAAGAAAAGTTTATTCAAGTACTTCATGTCCCTGTGCCTCATTCCTGATCCACAACTATGCCCACATAAGAAAATTAACCTCATTTTGTCTTCTGAAGAACACTTCCCAGGGTGTTTAAAATACCCCCCTATACCACTCTTCTTGTGTCTATCATTTCTTTATTTCTAATTTTCCCCCTGTTTTTCATCTATGCAATTGTTATTTCCAACACCACAGCATCTGAAGTCCTCTCTGCCATTATCATACTAACACGTTCAGAATGTAACCACCTATTTATAACTCAGGTGGAGGGGGAAAAATGATCAGTCTGAAGTCAGTCAGCATCTTGTTGGGAGAGGGACCAAAATGCAACTGCATCCTGTCCAGAGGTTTACTTTGTGCACAAATACAAAAATAATTTATGTGGGGTTTTTTTTTGTTGGTGTTTTTTTTTTTTTTTTTTTTTTTTTTTTTTTTGTCCTTACAGAGGATTACCAAGTTTGGCATGGCAATGCAGACAAGCAGTGTGGCTTGTTTCAGCTGAAGGAAGTCCAAGAAGGACATCACAAGGTACTGGTCTTGATATGAACATCACCATCTCCCTTAAAACTCACAGAGAAGACACTGCAGCTTGTGCCATTTGAGAATGATTTGTGGTCTTGCTTGCTCTGGTTATTGTGTTTCTTTAATCTATCCCTGTGAATTTTTTAATAGCCACAATAAGGCTTCACATGACCAGGTGTATTGCTGTCTCCTGTATAGTTAATCTCTCCAGCAATGAAACTTCAAAGGAAGAGTAGGAAAGACCACCAAGCAATCAAACAACAGAAGCTTGATCAAGCTGCAGGATGATATAATTTCAGTAATGTGTAAACATGAGATAGGTTTCATATGCATCCATAAACTTCAAGCTCTCGTGTACTTGTGCAGAAGACCATTAGAAAATTGTAGTATATGTATTTGTAGTATCCTGGCCAAGGACATCATTAATTTGTGAACATTTGTTGTTTCCTCAGTACAAGTTACCATGGAATTTTATCTGCAACATGATAACACTTTCAGAGATGCTACTGAAAATTTCAGATTTAATGTAGATCCTGAGAACCAAGACACAAAGAAAATTTTGTATTCCTGGAAATTGCACCTCTCTGCACTATATTATTAAATTAGGTATTTTCCAATGATAGTTGCAAGTTTTTCTCAGTAAGTGTTGTTCCACTTCTACCCTTAAATCACTATGGCTGCAGTGAACGAACTGAAAACATGAACATTCAAATTAATCATTCTAGTAATCTGTTTCACCCTGTTCTAGATACACTCTGAAATATTTTTAATCATTTTAATTGCCCATAACAAAAAAATCTCCACGGTACTCAGAGTACCCAAAAACTTGTGTAGTGTAGCACAAACACTCAATGGCTGGGGATGGTAATTACAACTTTTAAATTTAGTAGAGTGATGATTTACATTTGTGAGCAAAACCAGATTGGCCAGCTGGATATTCCCTTGCTTTTAAATGTCTAAGTTTCCAAATGATTTATTTCTTCAGGAAGATAAGGATAACTTGAAGAAAACAGAGTTTCATACAAATTTAGCTGCAGACTGAGGTGTGCATATGTGAGTGTTCTCAGCCTTAAATCTAGAGGAGAGATGATTTAAGGACCAATGGAGTGGGTGTAATGGGCAAAGCAACCCAACCCAACCCATGGGAGTGGCAGAGTGAAATTAATTTCCTACAATCCCATAATAGCACAATGCCTTTGAACAAAATGCCATAGTCTTATAGGAACCTCAGTTGTGGGTGGCTCTCAAAGCCACATTAAAGTGACCTGGTTTCAGTGAGGTGCATAAACCCACGGGCAATTCAGCACTGTCTAGTCCCTTTGGTCTCACTGAAATGACTCACAAGCTTACAGTTATTGACATGTTTGAATAGATTTCTGAACTGAGCCTCTTACGAGAATCCTTCTGCACAAAAGAAATGTGAGCATGTGAAATCTCCTTTCAGAGGTTGTGAGAGCCCCATATTTTTAATGAGATCAGTGAATCCTAATGTTCAGAAAGAGCCTTGTTTTAGCATGTTCAAGATTTAGGCATTTGGCCTGATTTGTATAATTTGGGCCTAATTGTATCTCTGGATAACATCTTCTAAAATAACTTTACCTAACAACTGTATATAGGGAATAATGACAAACTAATGCAAAGAACAGACTTAAAGAAGAAGACAAAAGTTCATGTAGCAGTTTATTCTCCTCAGCAGTCTCTTTTCTTTTTGTAAACAGATATTTTATTTTGTTTTATTTTATTTTATTTATATTTTATTTTATTTTATTTTATTATTTTATTTTATTTTATTTTATTATTTTATTTTATTTTATTTTATTTTATTTTATTTTATTTTATTTTACATTTTGTTTATAATCATTTCAATAGCAAAAGGAATGAGAAAGGTCTTGGAGTCTGACCGTAACTTTTTGGGAAATACAGATTTCTCTGCTTTGCCCTCCCTACCCTCACATTCATCTATGCTAAAGAATTGCAAATGGTCTCCCTCTAAGTGTTATTTTGAGTGAAGGGCATTAGTAGCAATTCAGCTTTTGATGTAATGCGTGTGCAAACCACTGCATGTATTAAGATATTGAATATAGATATAAGATATAGAAATGGTAGCAATAAAAGAGAATGCTCACGGTCAGTGACTTATGAGAGAAGTAAAACATATTCTGTGGTTATAATTCCAGCCTCATGCAGATGACTGAGTTTCTGCTTTTTGTACCTCAGATGAGCAAACACAGTCTCAGAGAAATTAACTCATAATGCTCTTTAACACCTTTGGGATTTATGTTTTAAATAATGTCTTCACATCTACTTTGCACAGGAATAGCTTAATGGAGAAAATGTCAGTGCAAACAACAAACCAAAATAAAAAAAAAATTGTAGCTTTCATAATTAGTAAAGTGTAAAATGATGTGACTGCAACAATGCATCCATCTGCTTGCCCTCTCTAAATTTGTTCACTAAATGTTAGCAAACCCTTTGCAGAGTTTGGTATTGTGCCTGGGAATGTATTAATAGATATTGTCATGGAAGTCACCTACAGATGTATCTGGTAAATTATGACCTCATTGTGTCTCCTGGTGGAAGTGGTTTTTGGCTCTTTGTCCAGGGGCAAACATCCAGGGAATCGGTAGTCAATTCAGAGAGGCAATGCCAGTGCTGAACCAGACCCTGTGCATGCAAAGGTGTTATTCCAGGGATGAGCACAGATCAGAATCCTCTACATTGTAGCTCAAAGAGTAGTTTAAATGAGCATAAACTAGCACCAGCACTGAAAGATGCAGTACTATCCCTCCCCTTTGTGCTGGCAACTGGGGCAGGGTGGCCTGGATCAGATTGGGTCCAGCTGAGAGCTAACCCAGTTATAAAAAAAAGAAAAAGAAAGAAGCCAAACAGTATTAACTCAATTCCCAGATCAGTTCCCTCCATATGGCTTACTGAGGACATGTCCAGATTTTTGCACTGGCAGAGTATGGTGTGCAACACTGGAAAATGCAATTTGAGTGGAGGAAGAGTGGCTGACTGCTGATGTCACCATGAGCTTGCACCTTCTTGAGAGGGTTTGTCACATAGGGAACAGCAGCATAAATCCGTAAACGTATTCTGTGTGCAGCTCCAGGCCCCACGACTTTAGAAGGTGGAAAAGGTCCTTGGTTTTGTCCAGAGGAAGGGAAAATAGGGGGCTGAAAGGCATGTTCTGTTAGGTGTGGTGGAGGATTTGTCTTGCTTGGAGAAAAGCAGGCTCAGGGGAACCTTGTTCTCTTCAGCTTCCTGGGGAGGGAAAGTGAAAAGGGAGGTGCTGAGATCTTGCTTTTATCCAGTGATAGGACATGTGTGAAGGTTTCAAAGATGTACCAGGGAAGGCTCAAACTGGACAGCAGGAAGCAATTCTTTGCTTAGAGGGTGGTCAAAAGCCTGGGACAGGCTTCCTAGAGAGGTGGTTGATGTCCCCAGCCTGTCAGTGTTTAAGAGGTATTTGGACAGTGTCCTTAACAGCTTTAACTTTTGGCCAGCCCTGAACTGGACCACAGATTCTTGTTGTAGGCCCCTTTCAATTGAAATAGGTTAGTCTATTCAAGGTGTTTTGAATACATACTCAAAGCAGCTTTGCCACTGCTGTTTCCCATGTTTGTTAGAAAGTGAAAACAGAGCTCGAATTCAAAGCAGATAAAGTTGCACCTCTTACTTTGCTAGCTGTAGCCAGCTAATTACCTTAGTATTCTAATTTGTTTCTCATTTTCATTTAAAGGTCAGCTGGAATAACCCACCTCACCAATGTTGTGGAGAAAAATCAGGCCCCAAGAACAATGCAAGCCAAGAAGAAGGGAAAACATCTGCAGAGAGCAATTTATTTTTGGAAGACTTGGAGAAATATACCTTTTCTGTGTGGTAAGTGATCTCAGCATCAAACAGTTTCACAAACCAAAAGTTTGCCTTGCTTGTATTACAGAGGCATCTACCTTTAGATGAAAGTTATTGGGCTAAAACCTCCCCACCCCCCCAAAAAAAAAACAAAACCCATGGGATTTTCTTGGACTTCTTAGTATTATTTATTATTGAAGTTGCATTAAAGAAATTGGAAGCAATTTTGTATGAGAATATAATTTTGACATTGCTGCATTGTTTTGAGGAGCTGTGTCAGGGGAATAAAGGCAGAAAGATTTCCAGCATAATCTTTTCAGCATTTTAGGAGCAATACAATGCCTTTTTTGGATATTACTTTAAATATTATTACTGTTCTCCATTATAAAATACACATATGGGGAATTACTTCAAATGAATAGATAAATTAAAGTGAAATTAAAAAGGCTACATCAAAATGAAATCTTTTCATTTACTTATAATTATATTTCCTGGAATTTCATCTTCTAGGTAATTGCAAAAGTTGGACAGTTATTTGTAATTAGTAAAAAACAATGAAGACCCAATCCTTTACTAAATGAAATGATCTGATAATCTTTCATATAGCTCCCTACTGTGCTTTGAATATTCAAAATCCATCTATAATGTACATTTCTGGAGCCCATGATCTTCTCCAAATCAGCCCCTAGAGTTTCAAATTAAGCATCCAGAAAACAAACATCAGAATAGGGTCTGTCTGTGAAAATTTATTTTAAATCACTTCCCTATTAAAACACAAGACAGAATTATCTCACTGGCAAGCCAAGCAGCCCTCACCATCTCTAGAGCTGTCTATGCCCTGCTCCCATTTGCCTTGGTGCCTTTAACATTGGCAGGAAGTCAGGTAAAGACCTTACAGACACAAAGTGCATTTTCACTCTGGTAATCTGAACTCAGCCCTAGAGGTGATTAACCCTGACTACTGCAGAAGGCATAAATCAGGCAGGAGAATAACACACGTTCATATAATTAGGCTTTCATAATTCTGCTGGATTAATTATGGTTATTTTGGACAATTAAGGACTCCCTCATCTTGGCCATAATATAAGAATAGATTTTAGAGTAGCAGTACTCATCCAAATACCCTTGCCAGCTCCCACTGTTTCATTTTACCTACCTCAATTTTCAAATTAAATTAACCAAATTATCATCAATTATCTATCTCAAGGTGCTTGCTTTATGCAGTGGTGAACTTCACTTTCTCTCTTCTGTGTCTTTCACAGTTACAGTGATAGAATTAATATTTAATTGTATATGTCCTATCCCTACAAGCGCTCAAGGCCAGGTTGGATGGAACCCTGGACCTCCTGATCTGGTGGAAGGTGTCTCAACCCATGGCAGAAGGTTTGGAACTAGATGGCTTTTAGGGCCCCTCTTAACCCAAACCATTCTGTGGTTCTTCTACCTTTAAAGTCAGCAGCATTGATCCTTTATTTTTTTCCTAGTTGTTCTGCTTAAAAGTGTTGGGAAAGGAGCTCAACTCCACCCTTATCAACCTGGCCTCAGGTTTTGAACTCCATGGCCTTTGAAATTGCACAAGGTGTCTGGAGAAGCAGAGGAGAGAGGTACTTGTCTCTGTTGGCATGCACCTCACCTTCTGATTTGGGAATAAGAGAAAACAACTATCCTTTCTTCCATTTCATTTTCTATTTCTTTTCTTTCTCCCTTCTTAGGGAGCCCAGCTGTCTCCTGAGCCCCTGCAGGGACACTGACTATGCCAGGATTCCCTAGGCAGGCAGTTATATCTGGGCATAGGAAGTTACAGGGCATGAACCAGGTCTTCCTGGTACAAAACAAAAGCAACAAGGCATGTGCCAGGGTGCTGCCTGTCCCAGCTGAGCCCAGTATTTTGTTATTTCAATATGTCGTTCTATCTACTGTATCCATATACAGTAAATAAAATGAATAATAGAATGAAATAAGGACCAGTACTTTTTATTTATGTATTTGTTATGTTCAAGTCCTATGATGTTAGAACCAAACAGCATTTAGAGGGAATCTCTTTGCTTTCTTCTTCACTTGAGGTCATCATATTTATCAGAAATAAAAAAAATAGGAAAATGAAATCACTCCACTCTTGGTCAAGTAATATAGGTATTACACATTGCATGCCATGTTAAGAATGTACAATAATATAGTATAGTAATGTATTAATAATCTATTTTTTAAATATATAGTTAATTCAGGTAATTTACTCAGGAATCTGACACCTTGTGAGTTGTTAATTCCATTTGTTACTGTACCAATTTGATGTTTCCATTGTTACTCATTTCTATCTGTCTACGTCTTTCCTTCTCTCCTACTTTCTCCATCAAAGGGTATCAACTCCTCTTTGTCTGTTTCCAGACCTTCCTCTCTACTACAATTGCTACCTTTTAAAAAATGCAATGCAAGATAATTAGCTACTAAAAAAAAATTTAATAGCACTGTAGATCTGGGGGCAGCTTAGATCTCCATAAACTTTAGAGTTTTAGATGCTCCAAGATGCAATCTGAGCAATTTCCTTGATCTTTTATTGCAGCTGGTAAATCATTTATTGGGCTAGGTTATTTTACAAAATCCTCTTTAAAAACAAAATCCCATAAAATGTATTTATCATAAAGTACTGTATGACCAACAGTCTTCAAAGCTGTACATACCCTGTATTAATTAAAAGCTAGTGTTGTACTGTGACAAGTTAAAAGTATCCACTGTCTCAGTCTCTCTCTTCCCCCCACCCCCCTGCCTCTCCCAATGATTTTTTTCTCTCTTCTTTTCCTTCTCTCATATACTCTTATCTTTTAAGACTTGCCAAAGGGGAGATTGGTGAGTACGAACAAGATATTCTTTTGTGATCACAAATATTTTTCTGATAATTGTGATTTTTTTTCTTCCATTGCTAGAGCATGCATGTCCTTTTCCATTCATATTAATTTGACAGTGGTGTCTCACATCCGTAGGCCATAGTCAAACCTCCTTACAGTGGGCATTATACACATATATAATAAAAAGATCATTTTGGCTGCAGAAGCCCACAGGCTTCAGCTTGGATCTCACAGCCTACACGAGTGCCTTTCTCACGTACAGTCTTGCTCAGAGCAGCAGCCTATTGCTTGGGTCCAGTGAGTTGAGAGTGAGGGGGATGAGTCCAAAAGATGAGGTGAGGGCACAGAGGTTAAGATAACAGGCAAATGTGGTTGCATATTGCAGGGCCATCCATGCTGCTGAGGTGGTCAGCTGCAGTCACAGCCAGATGCTCACTAAGTGTTTTGCTGGCCCTCCTGGAAAGCTCACCCCAGGACCTTGCCTTGCACCACAGCATGGCTGAACCTCCTTTCTCTGAGTTTTGTGTTCTCTGAGTTAAAAGCCTGTGGAATATGCAGCAGAACATCAATATAATTTGTGACTATTTTCTGAATAATACAGGTGAGATCTGTAACCTTATGAGAAAAGGAGGAAAGCTCGGAGGAATTTTGACCTTTCAGCCCAAAACCTGCTCTCAGAAGTTTTCTAGCTCTCTTCTTCTGTTCCCTGAAATGAGCAAGATTTGAGGAAAAAAATGATCTTCATGACTGTCACTATAAAGCCAGATTTCCTGAACGTGTATAAAAAACACAGATGTGAGAAATAATTTCAATGCTTCAGTGATTTAACATTGCTTTTTATGTATAATTCTAGAGGAGATGTGAAAAAGACCCCAGATTTCAGAAACCTTCATTTGTCTTAATACAAAAAAAAAAAAAAAAAAAAAAAAAAAAAAAAAAAAAAAAAAAAAAAAAAAAAAAAAGAAAAAAAAAAAGATAATGACATATACACTTTCTGCGACTTTGGGAATCTTCAGGCTTGAGTTTAAATATAAAATACTAGCAGTTTCAATTGCCAACAACTTATCATCAAACACAGCTCTCAAGGGTTAAAACTACACACTAATATAAAAAGTAACGATCATCCTTTGTCTCCATGCAATTAGCTTTTTAACAATGTGCCTGTAGCTCCTACCCAGGCTAAATGCTGCTTTGAAATATTTTCTCCTAACTCCAAATGTGTTAAACTGACTCTGGCCAGCTTCTATAAAACCAATTAATGTAGGGCACTGCCTTTTGTGGAGGAGCACCCAGTGTCCCACACAGCAGTGCCACGTGCTGCCCATGGTGGCTCTGTTGCAGGCTGGTCAGTGCAGCACCAGTGCAGGACCAGACAACATCTTAAAGCAGGAGACAAGTTGGTAAATCCTACCTAGAGTCATATTCCTGCAATTCTGGAATCCAGGGTGTTGGCCCAGGCTTTGGTTCTCACTTGCACCCATCAGGAGCAGATGCAGCCCTTGTTCAAGAGAGGTAGCAAGGGGATGGTGAGGACAAAATAGGCTCTTGGCAGCGTGTCACAGTCTGGGTAGGGTGAACAAGATTGAAGACCCCTTTACAACCCTGCCACTTCACCTGTAGACTTTTTGATTTTTATTTCTTTTTTTTTCCAAATTGAGGAGGACACTGAGGGCCAGGAAGAGTTAACTGTAAAGAGCACAATACAGTAAACTTGTTTTTTATATAAAGACAATAAACTTTCCCTTTATAATACACATGTGATTTGACATTGAAATAAATGCAGATGCTTCTTTGTTTGGTGTATTCCCTGTTGTGCTTTCTAAAACACCTTCACATATGGTTTGCCTCATTCCTGTGAAACTGCTTGTTGTTTATGTCATACAAACAGAACAGATTGAATTTATACCAAGTTAGGAGGGTGATGAATCCTAGGTTAGAGGAAAATCCTTTCCTAATTGTTTTGAATTTGTTCAAAATTAGTGTTGCCTGTTAAAAATTGCCCTGGATTGTCCCTTGAGCTTTTCTAAAGATTCCATTAAAATCAGAAAAAAAAAAACAAAGAAAAAAGATAATTTTGTGGCTGCCTATAAATGCAACCTTTTATTCAAATATGTAACATTTACCTAAAATCAAAGGTCAAATTTTACCAGTTTTTTATAGATGTCCTAGTAGGATCTGTTTCATGTGCTATGTATAAAATACTGCCATTAAGAGCGGACATTCAATTTCCTTTGTAAAAAGCAGAATAACCCTTTATTGCTTGCTTTAAAAGTGCTAATCTTTTAAAAAAATTGTCAGTAA